ATTAATTATTGGTTTGTAGGGAAATTGTTTGATTGCATGGAGAATTTCATCATGACCTAACATCAGCTAGTGAACCATTGGGAAAACCTTGGAGTTCCGCTAGATAGCTGTTTCGTCCCAGTTTGTAACTATTCATCAGCACGCCCCCGCCGGGGTTTGAACCCAGGACCTTCTGCTCTACGAGCTCACCTTGTAATCAGAAGGTAATGGGCTTGAACTACTGTGGTGGGTGCTGATGAACAGTCTCAAAATAGGCTGAATAAACAGCTGTCCAGTACTCCCTGAAGCTTTTCTAATGGTTCTCTAAATGATATTGTATTATCTGTTTTACTGTTCACCAAAAAAATGCCTGGCTGAAGAAACAGCTAGTGAAGACAGGACTCCAGATGAACATAGAGAAGACTGTAGAGGTGATGAAGATAACCAACCAACCAACCAACCAAAGAACAGCAATAACAACAACCAGCGCCAATCGACATCAACAGCAGAGATTTGAAAGAGGTTACTTCCTTCACTTATCTGGCTAGGAAGCATCGTTTCAAACGTGGGCAGTTGAAACGTATGAGAGTGTTAAAATCAGAACGGGAAAGGCAACACAGACATTCGTCACTGTGAAATCAGTTTGGAAATATTCTTCACTCCACCTCAGAATAAAGAAAAAGGGTCGGATTTTCAACACAAATGTGAAGTCAGTCAGTTCTTTTATATGGGACAGAAACTTGGTCAGCGTGTCACAATAAGCATTTCCAACATTCCACTGTAGACTTTTATCGACAGCTGCCAACTTCGCTGGATCCATATTGAAGACCAACTTGTCAGAAAGATTTAGCGACAAGAAACTTTGGGAACGAATCAACCAAGAACCCATTGCTCAAAAAATATTTGAAAGAAAATGGATATGGATTGGGTACACACCACCAGAGACTGGGGAGACCGTTAGGTTAAATCACGCGCCAGGTCATCGCTCAAGTGGAAGCCAAATAGCAAACAACAAGTTGGGCGCTGGTCCGAGGGTGAGATGGTGGAGATCGTGCGAGAAGGAGATAAGAGACTATGAGAAATGGCGGACCCAGCTAAAGAGAACAGCAGAAAATAGGACAAACTGAAGATGTGCTGATGAAGACCTATGTTCCGCTCGGAACGCAAGGGAGCAATAATAATAATTATACACGAATAGGAAAGGCTTGTGTAGTGATTCCCGATGTACATCACCTTTGCAGTAGACGTGATACCCGGCTATCCATCAAAGGAAGTGTGTAGTGCGCAGCAGTCTTCTTTGTCCTACTTTACGGCTGTGAGTGAGAAACGACCTTTAAAAGCGGAAGACTTGAGGAGGCTAGACGTCATTGAAAACGGATGTCCCCGATCTATCACCTATGCTAAACGGTATAATATGGTGAATAATACTGAGGTTAAATGTACGGCTTAGGGTAAGGAGGTAGGCAAATCGATGGGCATATAAAACTATATCGGTTGAGATGGCTAGGAATGTGTATGTCAAACATGACAACACCAGAAATAAGGAATCTAAACCATCAGTAGAATTCTATACAAGGAAGGAACCTCGGAAAACTTACGCAGAATTCTTAACAGTGAAGGAAGGAATAAAAATGGCTAGCATTCAAACCCACAAACTCAATTAGAAACAAGCTTTGTCGGTTAAAGGATCAATCCTGTGAAGCCAATTAAACAAAACAATTTAGTTTATCTAATACCCTGCCTACAATTATTGTCAATTCTAATACATAGGTCAAAGTAGTAGAAGGGTGTCAGTCAGTAAAACTAGCACATCAGTACAAGAACCTGGCAAAATCTATATTAGTTGACTCAAATAAGATGAGAAATCTAGAGAATAGTTCAGCAATCGCAAGCACTACGTGCAATTACACCCAACACAGCCACACAATAGGATGATGGGATAGGATGACAGTTATAAAATCTAATGTAACAGGGTGAATGGAGGAAGAGATTGATAACAGAAGCTTTGTTTATCGGATCAATTGCAAATACGTGTAGTAGGAATGATTCAACACCTGTCCAGTCGGATATCTGGAAAATTCTACCACAACTCCCTTGACGACAAATAGGAGAGAACAAAGAAAACCATAAAACTGAAGTTCCTAAGTTATGTGATTATAATTGATATGATTATGAACAGTAATAAATTTTGTTCGAAAAGTCATCCAGTAAACACTAATACTGTTTCACTGTGTGATACATCTAATAAACAAACTAATATAGAATCTAGCTGTAAAGCCTAGTATTAACCTTTTGGTGTGGATAATCAAGTTCAGTCGTCTTTATTTTGTATATTTTATGTAGACTAGAATATCAACATGTATAAACACGAAAGTTGTAGATTAGATTTCTAATAGAAAGAAACAAACAAAAAATTGTGTGAAAATAATGCTAGCAATATCCAATTTTCTCGACTACTCACTCAGTGCACAATACTATGAGCAATAGACTTATTCTAGGTATGAGAGCTAATTATATCACCACTGTATTTCCAAGGTGAAAGTAGATGAAACGAGACAATCGAGCGTCTAAACCAAACAGCCAGAGTCAGTGACGCACAGACACAAAAGGCTTCGAAAATTTATAAAAGAGTATTTGATAATGAGGCATAGATGAGATGACAGTGATATGTATGTGTGAAATCCATATCTGTTGCAGGATTTCATCATGAACTGACATCGGTAAAAGAACCATTGGAAAATCCCCTGGGAGTACTGGACAACTGTTTCGCCAGCCTAGTTTAGGACTTTTCAGCAGTACTTACCCACCACAGGGGTTCCAACCCACGACCTCCTGGTTACAAGGCGAGCTCGTAGACCATTCAGCCACTGGGACCCATCAATCCAGTGGGTGGCCATTGCATGAATTCTAACTTCTGCCAATTCATGACATAGCGTTACCCAAATGTGTGCGCACTACTGAAGAGTCCAAAAGTGGGCTGACGAAACAGCTGTCCAGTACTCCCTGGAGGATTTCCAATGGTTGTCTACAAAACCATTACTTGGAAATCCAAATGCATTTCCTTGGGGATAACATCAGCGAGATACTAACACAACGCCTTAGAAATGTGGTAAAAAGAGCATTCCCTGCTGCTGAATTACGCTGTGTCTTCAAAACCACCCACTCCTATTTTGCGTTCGGGAGTAAAAGATAAACTGCCTGATTCCGCTTCTTCCATGTGTATCTACCAATCTGACTGCTCCTATGAAGCCACTTAGCTGCTTAGGCCGTACAGTTAGGTGTGTCTATAGTAGGATTTCTGAACATCACCCTGCATGCTTGGATAAGTAAGGGATAAACAAAATCCATTCACAAAGCGCTATTCTATCTCATCTTGTGGATACACAACACAAGATTGATGATAACGAGGCGGCTTTTGAAGTCATTTAGCGCATACCAACCGACAAACCTTAACTGTGCCTTTAGAGTTTGACAACTAAATATTGCTGAGGCTGGCTGTTGGGATCCACATTAAGAAGTCTAATTTGTGCATTCAAAAGAAGTCAGTTCAGACATTGTCCTTACCTTGGCCATCTAGGTTTGAATGATCCTCAATTTTTGTAGAATTTTCCAAATTTTATTTGATATTCTAGTTGCTATTATATTATTATTGTTATTATAATTCAAGCATCTTTAATGAACTGTAATTCCATTGTGATCTTACTTAACAAATCGATATTATTTAAAAAACGCTAATATTGTTATTGACTACTAATCTAGAATATTCTATGTATATAAACACATATATGCATAATTGTGGAACCAGAAGAGGAAATTATCGAAAGGGATATTTTTTGCTCAATTATTTTGTGTTTTATAAATCCATATTTCTCAGTTATCAGAACAATATACAGTTCAAACTAGAAGTCATTATTTTTGCCTTAGGTAAATTTAAGCCTCCTATGGATTGACTATGTTGGCCCAAAAAGTTCGGTCTTTCTTGACATTGTCAGTACCTTGTTTGGACGCTTCGATGACGTCTAACCATTAGCCTGAAGCTATTCTCGTTAGCTGTGACTAGCAGTAGATTCCGGAAACCCAGGAACTGATGAGGATATCAAATCAAGGATCAGGAAAGCAAGGCAAGCTTCCATTACTCTCACGTCTGTGTGGAGGTCAACAGGACTCAGCATGAAAACGAAAATAAGATCCGGATTTTCAAATCCAATATGAAGTCAGTGCTACTTACTATACGGAACAGAGACTTTGCACAGCGTCACGAAGGCCACTTCGAACAAACTACAGACATTCATCAACAGCTGTCTTCACTTGAAACTACTCAAGATCAGATGACCGGCCAGAAAAGATCAGCAACGGAGATCTCTGGGACAGAACCAACCCACCAGGAACCAATTGTGCAACAAATATACAGGAAGAAATGGAGGTGGATTGGTGGTCATACTCTGAGAAAACAAACCATCAAGTGACATCACTTCCAAGCCATCGCTCTAATAGAAACCGAATAGGAAGCGGCGAGTTAGTTGGTCGTCAGTGCGAAGAAGAGAGGATGTGAAGAGGAGATGAAAGCATGTAGGCAGACGTGGAGCCAGGTAGAAACGTTGGCGGAGAACCGAACGCAGTGAAAACGTGTCTCTGAATCCCTTTGTTCCTCTAGGAACTAAAGGAGACAATAATAGTAATAATGTACCACTAGGAAAGATCACTAACAACAACTGATCTGATTTCAATCAATTCGAAAGTCAAAAAGAGATTCAAAAAATGATCCTGTCTAGTTTATTCTACCTGATTCTTTAAAAGTTCTTAAAAGAGAGAGATGATCATGAATGGAAGACACTTCGATAAATAGAAACTGAAAAAGGTATATGCTTCCACGATTATGATACATAAGGACACACCTAGGACAAATCAAATTCTTTGAAGTACCAGTTCGTACACAAACAAAAACACAAAGTAAAACTTGAAATTATTAAATAATGATATCAAAGTTAATAAAAAATTAAAAAATAAAGCAGTTTTCTTACATTTTGACCTCCCAACCACATAGATCGTAACTCTGCAAGCTCATTCAAAACGACCTCTTTATTCGGTTGCTAATAAGGGAGAAAAAAAAGACAGAAAGATAAAAAACAAACTAAATTACTTGAGACATTACATAATAAAATAATAGTAATAATAAGTTGAATTCGATAAAAGGATTACACTTATTTGAGAGGACTTCAAGACCTATGTATTACTGCGGTGAGCACCATCTACAAGCCGAAATTGTAGACAACAGTTGACGGCAACGTTTACTTCCCAAATCGGAGTCATGAGAAAAAACAATAACAAAGCTTAACCTTGACGAACTCACCAACAAATCACAACAGACATTATTATTATGATTATTGTTCCCTTGGGTTCCTAGTGAAACATAGAGCTTCAACTGCACGCCTCCACTTGCTGCTTCTGTCTTCTGCTGTACTTTTCACCTGCATCCATGTTAGTCCATACTGTTTCAACTCCTCTTCACACGATCTCCTCCATGTCACCCTTGCATTGACGTCCCACTACTCGCCGCTTCCCTTTCGGGTTCCACTCGAGCACTGGCCTGACGCGCAATGTCACCCAGCAGCCTCCTCAGCGAGCTTCCAACCCATCTCAACTTTCTCATGCATATTTGTTGGGCGATTGGTTCTTGTTTTGTTTCTTCCCATAGTTTCTTGTTGGTGATTCTTTCCGGTCATCTGATCTTCAGTATAGAACGAAGACAGCTGTTGAGAAAGGTCTGCAACCTATTGTGACCCGCCAAGTTTCTGATCCGTATAGAAGAACTGACTGACTTGACGTTTGTATTGAAAATCCGAATTTTGTTGTTGATACTGGCTGAGTGACGAAGATTTCCAGATTGGTTTCAGGTTGATGAATGAGTTTCTCGCCTTCCCGATTCTCGATTTGACATCCTCGTCCGTCCCTCCTGTAGTTGAGACAATGCTCCCTAGATAAGTGAATGAAGAAACCTCTTTCAAATCCCCTGGCGCTGGATGTTGTAACTGTTGTTGTCTGTTGGTTGGTTATTTTCATAACCTCCGTCTTGTCTATGTTCACTGGGAGTCCTGTCTTTGCTGCTTCTTCGACCAGTTTGTCGGTATTCGCTTGTAGTCTTCGATTTGGTGTGACATCAAACATAAATCATCCGCTAATACGATTCGCAGATATATGGCTTAACCTTCTAAGAAATGGTCACAAGCAATACAGAATAACCTTCAGCAAGAAAACAACCAATCAAAAGACGTTGCTTCTCCGCTGACAATAATGTACATAAAAATCTATAAATATCTGTTTATTTTCCCAATAAACGATCTGTTGCCTTGCCCTTGTCTTCTGTCGTTACAGTATTATACTTGTATCGCTATAGAAAGATGTAGCGTCACACGAACACACAGGTTGCCTAGAAACCATGTTCCTCTCCTTCAAGTCCTTTTTCGAAACATATTTTAACATCCTGAAGATTAGATGACCAGTCAGAAAGGATGAATAACAAAAATCTTTAGCAAGAAACAAACCAACAACCGGTGACGAAGTGTATGGAGATGGATTGGAGACACGCTAAGAAGATTGTTGAGTGCTATCACGCACATGAATGATAAACGACGAATTAGGTGTTAGACGGTAACATGGAGAAGATTGCAAGAGGAGGAGGAGATAAATGCCTATGGGCGATTGTCAAGTCAGCTTAAAAGAAGAATTCAGAGAACCGATTGACACGGAAATGTGCTTCTTAATTCCTATGTTCCATTCGGGATCCACCGGATTAATAATGATTCTAATGAAACAATGTGATGAGATTAATAAACACTTGTCGTTAAATTCGATAATGTGAATACAATCTACCCAGCTACTGACTGACTAACTGGTTTCAACATAGAAATTTCCACAAACTTTCGGCAATTCCAGTTGCCACTCTTCCAATCTCTCTCGCACTGCGTAGCGCACAATGTTAGGAAGAGGCAAAACACATGCAATTATCAAGTTATTATCGCGTTATTGACAAGACGTTGACATGCAATTTTTCCCGCTTCTGATTGGACGCTTGCACAATTCCAACTCTCAACCGGATTGGTTGATTTCCAGTCTACCTTATTTTTTGTATAAATAGTCACTTTTGTCATAATAAATGAACCTGGTTTTACCGTTGATTCTCTTCGTGTTCTGCTTTTCCAGTTAAGTAGGCACTGGTCAGTAGTTAAGCAGTGACCGCGTGACAAAAGACCCAGCATCATAACACACAAAGCAAGCGAAGAGAGTAAATAGAGATTTAAAAGATACATAGATAATAAACAAAAGTGTGAGTGAGAGAAACAGAATAGTATTATGGAAGAAGATCAGTGGAGTTTTATTGGATATTATAAATTACAAGGAGTGAAAGTATCTGTGCTTGCAATTGACAATGACAACTTCGAGCCATATCACCCCTGCCGACGCACTCTCATACCTCGTTAAGCCAGTAGTAAAACTGGTAAAGAGGGAAGGTTGAGCATGGGGATAGCGACCCCTCCCAGAAATTTCCAAGCTTTAGCTCGAAGCCCCATGTTCCAGCACTGGGAATGTAAAGGAATAAAAACAACACAACACTTATCTCCAGTCGTCATTGGTCCTTAACATCCCAAGGTTCCCATCCCCAACAAGTCAGTTAGGAAGTCTACACAACCACCCTATGCGTGACTGACTGACTTTAACTAACTGTTATGGATTTCATCGACTGATGAAGCCATGTTTTGGTTTGACCACCACTAACTCATTCATTTCCAACCTGATCCATCCTATCTCAACGGCTAACATTGGCCACTGTCGACGAAGGCAGGCGATGGCTAGGCATGGCATGAGTAACACATGTCCTAACCATCTCAATCGATGCAACTTCATAATGATTGAACTAACAATGGCTGACCTCAAATATATCTCAACACTTTGATTGGACACTAGTAACTAGTGCGATGTGTCTAGTCCTTTTTCTTCGGTGCAGACTGAATTCTATCAATCAGTCAGTCAGGTTTGCAATGTGGCCACCATTCTAGGTAGCTCGCCATCACGGTGCACATTGAGATTTGATGATATTAGATCAAAGTATCCACTACAGTCAGTTCTACAGGAGGTCAATCGCGGGCCAGCCCGAATAGCTGGCTCAGTAGTAACGTCTCTGACTGCAGAGCACACTGGGTGACGCGGGTTCGAATCTCAGAAGGGATATGACTTCCTTGAAGGTGGTTGCAGATACATCTGTCTTACTGACTGGTGACTGCCAACTAGCACGAAACCTAGGTAATCCAAGGCTTCCTGTCGCCGAGTGCCTCCAACTATCTAATATCATCAGATCAGTATGCACCGTGATGGCGAGCTACCTAGTGGAATGGTGGCCACATTGCAAACTTGGCTGACTGATAGAATTCAGTTTACACCAAAGAAAGGACTAGACATGCCACACTAGTTACTAGTGTCCAATTAAAAAGTGTGAAAGCTTCGCGATTAAACAACCCACCCAACTTATCATCAGACAATGTAACCACAATTTAAAATCATCCTCACCTGCCTAACCGACCAATTTTCCCAATTATTTCAGCAACAAAAAGGTTCGATGATGTATGAAAATTATCGATATGATGACATTAATCATAGGGTAATATTCACACATGAAAACTGCCTGTGGTGAGGTATTTGTACTTTTTTTTTCAACTCTCAGTTATTTAGGTTAATTGTGTTGTTATCAAGTGAAAATATTTATTATAATGAATTTGTGTTATTCAATTAATAATAAATGTAGGTGTTACATCTCGCTTGAATGCGCTTTTATCATTGTTATTATTATTAATGTAATTATTGTGTTAAATAACCACAGGCGTTTATTATCGATTATCTACGAATGTTTACTGATGATTTAAATGTTTTGTATTTCGTTAATAATAATTATTCGGTTAAATGATTGGGGCAGTCAAACTTTTCAACATTTTTATGTATATATATATATATATATATATATATATATATATATATATAACAATATGTTGAGATATTTGATGATACTAGATGGTTGGAGGCAATCGGTCACAGGAAGCCTTGCTCGACCTAGGTTTCGTGCTAGCTGACACTCACCAGTCAGCAAGGCAGCAGTATCTGCAACCACCTTCAAGGAAGTCATATCCCTTCTGAGATTCGAACCAGTGTCACCCAGTGTGTGCATGCTGCAGTCAGAGACGTTACCACTGAGCTATTCGGGCTGGCCGGCGATTGACCTCCTGTAGAACTAACTGTAGTGGATGTTTTTTCTTTTTTTTTTCCTTCAAGTTCCCCAGTGGAACATAGGGCTTCAAGCTAGTGGCTTGAAGTTTCTGTAGTAGTGTTTATTTTACAGGATGGGGTTGCCAGCCTCATGCCTAACCTTTCCTCTTCACCAGCATTATTTCTGGCTTAGCGAGGTAAAGGAGGGCATCGGCCGGGGATCGAACCCCAGACCATGTGCATGGTCGGCGAGCGTCCTAACCGCTATGCCACCGACGCACTGTAGTGGATACTTTGATTTAATATCATCTAATCAATGTGAACCGTGATGGCGAGCCACCTAGTGGAATGGTGGCCACATTGCAAGCCTGACTGACTGATGGAATTCAATCTGCACCAAAGAAAGTGCTAGACACGTCATACTAGTTACTAATGTCCAATGATCCATCCTCTGTCAGCTAACACTGTTCATCGACGAAGGCAGGTGATGGCTAGGCATGCGTAACAAATGTGCTAACCATATGTAGTGACTCCACGATCAAAGTTGACATCAACCAATGAATCAATTCCCTTATAAAAGGATGTTAGAACTTATAAGTTCTTAATTTCACTGTACACTTTCAACTTCGATGACTTCGATCACTGAGTAGTATTCAAAATCATTATGTGTGCGTGTGTGTTTGTGTCTGTAAGTGGCGTGTGTATAGCGCTCATTATCAAATCAAAATGTACACAGATGCTGTTCAGTTGCATTACTATTTTTACTCACCAATAAATAAACTACTGTAACAGAGTATTTAACAGTTTAACACGTATTATAACACTGTATATTTATTAC